CCATGACCTGTAATGTGTCTCGTTTCAGAGGAGTAGAGGGAGTATGCAGGGTTTGGACTCCAGCTCTGCCGCTCACTAGCTATGTCAGTGGGTAGGTTCCTCCACCTCTCTGAGCCTCAGTTTCCTGGTCTTTAAAATGGACGCGAGTCCACCTGTCTCCAGGGTGCTTATGAGGAGTAGAGGAGAGACAATATGGCAGGCTTATATTTATGGAGTGCTTCTCAGACTCATTGCAGGCACCTCCCAGATCCACGAGAACACATCATTACTTTGCTTTTTGTTTGTTTAATTCCTTTGACTAAGAAAGCCAATAAAAGAATTTTGAGGAAGTTTGCTAGGAAAGAACAAGTTAACTTCTCTTCTTTGCTGTTAGTAAGTGGTTTGGCTTGATACCTTGTAGCTGAAAAAATATCTTTGAAACTCTCAGATGACCTGTTGTTTTTACTTTCATTCATTTGACACAAATGTATGAGTATCTGCTATGCACAAAGCACTCCCTTTGAGGGCAGGAGACCAGGCAGATGAAAGCTGCGTGGGGCTTGGCTGCCAGGGCCTGAAGTTGGGGAGGACCAGTTAGCCTGAGGAGGTGGGGTAGGCCTGGTCCTGCTCTCCCAGCCCTGCCATGGGGCTTTTGGCCATTCTGTGCCCTCCTGGGGCCTGTTTTCTTCTCTGAAAAGGGGATGGGATGGTTTTTCTAGTAGTCATGGACAGATGTGAGAGTTGGACTATGAAGAAGACTGGTGGTGAGGAATTGATGCTTTCGAACTGTGGTGCTGGAGAAGACTCTTGAGAGTCCCTTGGACAGTAAGGAGATCAATCAATCCAAAAAGAAATCAACCCTGAATATTCATTGGAAGGACTGATGCTAAAGCTGAAATTCCAATACTTTGGCCACCTGATGTGAAGAGCTGACTTATTTGAAAAGACCCAGATGCTGGGAAAGACTAAAGGCAAAAGAAGAGGGTGGCAGAGGATAAGATGGTTAGATAGCATCACTGACTCAATGAATTTGAGTTTGAACAAACTCAAGGAGATGGTTGGGGGTCAGGGGAGCCTGGCACGCTGCAGTCCATGGGGCCACAAGGAGTCAGATACGACTTAGGAACTGAACAACAGCAACCATATTCAATAAATTACACGAGATATTCAACACGATTATAAAATAGGCTTTGTGTTAGATAACTTTGCCCAACCGTAGGCTAATTGACATGTTTTGAGAATGTTTTAAGTAGGCTAGGTTAAGCCATGATGTTTGGGAGGTTAGGTGTATTAAATGCATTTTTAAACTTATATTTTCAACTTAGGATGAGATTATGAACTGATAAACCATTTATAAGTCAAGGCAGATCTGTAAACACAACTGTTTTCTGGGTCCAAGAAATCATACTGTGAATTGAACCAGTTAGATTCTTACAAAATGGTCTTGTGTTTCGTTCATGTTTAGAAAGGAGAAAACAAGTCCTGTAGCTAAAGGAAACTCGTGGTGGGTGGGCAGCGGAAGGCCACCGTTAAATGTCCTCAGGGATTCCTTTCTTAGGGCTTTTGATCATCAGACCTTTCATTTTCAAAGGAAAAAAATAACAGCAGCCTGTTGCCACTGGCAGTTTCCTTTTTACATAGCAGGAAACAATGTCTGATGGATGTAAAGGAAGCCTTGAATCCTACATCATTCATGAACCTCTTTGAGTGCCTACTGTGCGCCAAGCATCAGAGAAACAACATGAATACATGGAGGGGGTCTCTGCCTCCCATACCTGATGTCTGGCATATCCAAGGTGCTTAATAAAAATTTGTTGAGTAAGAAAATGAATACAGATAATAACTGTGAATAGTTTTTCTGTCCTGTCACATCATTTTGATGACTCCTGTAATACTGGGTTACATTTTAAATCATCTGTCCTAGAGGTGGCCAGCCAACCTGGTCTGGGACCATCAGGAACTATTGAGATGCTTGGTGGCCTTGATACTTGATGTTGGTCCAGCATGGCAGTTGAGAGCATGGGCTGCCTGTGTTGGAATCCTTTCTTCACCTCTTCCTAGTGATGAGACCTGGGCAGGTTCCCTGGCCCTGCTGTCCTTAGTGTTCCCATCTGTAAAGTGGGGACAGTGGTGGTGCCCACCCCACAGGGTCGTGGTGTGGCCTACACGTGTGCGCTGCTTGGCACACTTTGCCCTCTAAATGCTAGCTGCTTCCCTCTGCGTGTGCTGGTCCCTTGACCTCTGATGTATTAGACACACAGGATAAATAGACCCAGCTGCTATTATTTGGGTGTGAAAGAGCCCAGTAATGAGGTTTGAGTCTCAGCTTGGCAGCTTCCTCCCCACATGGCCTCCGCCTTGGTCAAATTCCTGAGGTTAAGGGAGGCTCAGAGAGGTTACCTGGGAAAGGCAGGTCCTTCCTTCACTATGTGAAGATTACATGGAACCCAAGGGCCTGGCACACGAGGTGCCCTCCATAAATAGCAGGATTGTTGTCAACCCCATAAAAAGCACACCAGGCCCCTTGGCTTTTGTGGCCTGGGGTGCCATAACTGGTTCACAGGGCGCCCAGGGAAGTCGTGGGCAGGCCTGGAGGGGGCCCTGAGGGCGGCCGGCCTTGGGAAAGGGCCCATGTTGCAGGCCCCACACGGTCAGAGCATTTTAAAGGCCTTGTATTAGAAAAATAAACCAATTAAATAATACTGCCCCCCATAAAAGCTGACTTTTAATGGGTTCCATGGTGGGGTTTTTCTCTGTGGCGGTCTCGTAGCCATCGGTCTTGGGGCGACTGTCTGCCGCCACGGGGAGAGTTTAATCTTACATGGGGTGGGCAGAATTTTACAAGTTTTATAGCCGTTTTTCCTCCTCCAAAGTGTTGCTATGTCATTGTGCGCTGAGGGCACCCTGCATGCATTTAACAGTTTACCTCGTTTGGGGTGGAAATGAAAAATGAAGTAATAAATTAAAGAAAAACACAACGTGGATTTTTCCCCTCTTTTCGAGGCAACCGTGGAAGAACAAAGAACCAGTGTTTCCCCGGACCGACTGCTAATCAAATTCTAATGGCTTTTATGTATGGACCCTTGCCCACGGGACCCACCTCCTCCCCAGAGAGGGCTCCAGGGCACAGGGGGTGTGTTTGGGGCTTGTCCTGCTGACCCCAGGGTAGAGGGTCAGCAAACGGGAGCCCAGGGGCCACATCCGACTCACTGCCTGTTTTTGTGAAATGATTGGGGGAAAATAATCAAAAGATTTCCTGACACGTGAGAATGACATGGACTTGAGGTTTCAGCGTCTAGATGGAGCTGTATTGGCACATGACCCCACCTGTTCATTGTGGTCTGTGGGGCTGTTGATCTGCGCCTTGCGTAAGGTGCAAAGCCCAATAGTCTCTTGTCCTTTATGCAAAGGTTGGCTGACCCTGCTCTGGGAGGTAAGGAGATGAGAGAAAGCAGCTTTGAGTTTCTTAGAATTGATGACTTATTCCACGGGCTCAAAGAGACAAGTCAGAGGAGGATTGAAGGAGAAGATGATTCTCTTGGGAGACCTTCCAGAAGGAGTCAGCTGCTGGTAGAGATGACTCTCCCCCCTTTTCTGAGCTCAAGTTGGCTTTGGAGCAGAGAGGCCTGAGTTATCCCCCTCCAGCCAGGTCTCCCCATCTGTAGGTTTTCCCATCAGAGGATCCCGAAGCTTGGCGTGAGGTCTGGTTAGCTTCTCATCAGCTCCCTTGATGGCTGGAGAATAGAGAAGTTCCCACCTTCCCTCCCAGGAGGCAAGCGCTTTTTGTCAAAAGTTTTATGCAGACCTAAGATGATGATCTCCAATAGCTTCGGAAATTTGTACTCTTTGGCCAGCTCCCGCCTTAAGCATTCTGCATATAGTAGTGACTCACTTAATCCTTATAGTCAACCCCGGGAGTGAGGTCCTCTTCTCACTCCCATTTTACAGATGAAGAAACAGAGGCACAGGAAGGTCAGGTATCTTGCTGAAGGTCACACAGCAGGTGTGAGGTAGGACCAGAATTCAAACCCGGGGTGCTCCAGGGGTGTCGGCTGCCTGCTGCCACTACACAGGGCTGCCACTTCTTTAGGCCTGTGAGAGGGTCTGCTTTCCTTGTTCCCTCCCACCCTTACCATGTCATTTCATAGGCAAACAGTCTCCTATGTGAGAAGGAGCATTTGTTCTTCCTAAATTCATCCTGCCCTCCTCCATCCCTCCATGTTTCCACCCCTCCCTCCCTCCAAAATAATTTATCAAGTGGGTGACTATGTATTAAATTCTGTGTAAGGGCATGAATGAATGAGGATGTTTTGCGAACTCAAAGAATGAAAAAAATAATCTTTTTCCTTTGAAAAGTAGTCCTTGGTATCCTCAACGCTGTTGGGTTTTTTTTAGAAGTTTTCTTAACATCCCTCTTTTATTCACTCTAAGGGATACCTCTGTCTGTATAGAGCCATAAACCCTCATAATTTCTGATATTTGTGTTTTCCGTAACCTCACACACATGAGACTCTGGGGAGGCTGGGCCTCTGACTTACCCAGTGGGAAGAGCCTGTTCAGGAAAGGCTCTGTGCACCCCGAAAGAAGGCTCCCACAGGAATGAGCTTACCACGCAGCTTGGGGACCAGGAATAAAAGGTCATAACTGATTGTGGAGGGAGAAGGCTACAAATTTGTAAAATATCACCAAGGCTGGTGTTGGTAGAACTTACTCTCTTGGGATAAATGTTACACTCTCTTCTGTCAAAAGTTCAGGATTTTATCAGAGATGCCTGTTTTGTTTCCTGATGGATTTGCCAGGCAGAATTTTTAGCATTATTTGTGTCCTTCTATGTGTGGACATGCCTGCAAACTGGGGAAGACCCACGGGGCCCCATGTCACTGGGCGAAGGACTAGCTCAGCCAGAAGCTGGTTCTCTCTCTTCCTTTCCCACCTGCTGCTTCTTCCCTCCTCTGCGCCTTTCTCAGACAGCAAATGTTTGTTGCCTATATCTGATGAGCCTTCGCTTTCTCTCCTCAGTCATGCGGAGGAACCCCTTTGGTGTGGACATCTGCTGCCGGAAGGGGTCCCGAAGCCCCCTGCAGGAGCTCTACAACCCTACCCAGGTAAGCCCTGGAAACTTCTTTGCTTCTCCACTCAGAGTCCACGCGTCAGCTTTTTGGGGAGGCAGAGGGATTGAAAAACTCCAAAATTCTGGTCTTTGGGGATTTGAAATTTCTTTCCACTGCCTGGGTTTTTACCTTCAGCTGGCTGCTTTCTCGGTCACCCTTTCTCTATAGAGTGGCTCTAAAGTTCTAGCAGGAGGTATTTAGAATGAGAGGAACAGCTTGGTGGAGTGCTGGATTGAGCTTTGAACCTGCTCAGGTTTTGGGTCTGAGCACCACACAGCTGCAGGTGCCAGCGAGGGGACTCTGAAATTGCAGAGCCTGCCAGGCTGTGCAGTCTCCCCGTTGATGTCCCCAGAGATAGCCCACATGGGGGATGAACTCAGCACCAGATCTCACGTCTGATTATTAGAGCCCAATGATGCCCCCAAGAGGTGCATCTCACTGAGCCAGTCTGACAAGACCCTTGTGTGGGGAGACTTTTTGCCAAGTGACTGTCATGGTAAGTTGAACTTGATTATGAAGAGTTCCTCTCTGAGCAAAATAAACTCCAACCAAGACACAGTGCCCTCCATGGAAAGCTAGGAGGAAAGGGAGGAGGCCCTGTTTCCATGGTGATGGCATCGTTGGTGTGTGTGGGTCTTGATGAGAAAACTCCAAGGCTGGCCCTTTTGGGAGGACATTAATTAGCTTGTGATGCCAAGAACTGGTGAATGAACAACTAGTGACCCATTAGCTGACCTTTGATAGCTGGTGGGAAAGGAGGGGGAAAATGTACTGCTTTGGCTATAATCTCTGAGATTGATTTTGTATCAGATTCTTAAGTTAGTGTTTCTGTGGACCAAGGTGCTTGCAGAGGAAGAAACCATTTCCTTCCCCAGAAGTGCTGAATTCCTGGAAGTCTTGCCAAGAGATGAGCCTGAGAACTTTCTGATTCCACATCTCTTTCTTGTCTTTCACCCTTTGGAAAAGTGGACTCTTGAGTTTGTGCAAAATCGGTGGCCTAACCATGTTAATTCACTCCCCTCTTTCAGCCCCATCACTTTGGAACTCAGTGTGGTGGGGCCAGATTAACCAGGCCATTGCAGACTCAGATTCCCTGGTGTCTCCTTTACTGGGCTTTCTGGTAACTCAGCAGGGAATTGGCCTTTTTAAAAATGGTTATTGAAGTATAGTTGATTTACAAGGTTGTGTTAGTTTCAGGCATACAGCAAAGTGAATCAGTTATATACACACACACACACACACATATATATACAAATACTTTTTTTGAAAAAAAGCTCTCTTCCACTATAGGAAGATACTGAGATACTATAGATGGTGAGTATAGTTCCTTATGCTATACAGTGGGTCCTAGTTGATTATCTTGATTTGGGTTTTTGTTTGGTGTCCCAATAATCTGATTACTATAGGCCAGTCTCCCACCTGTTCACACATTGGTCCTAGGAAGAGACTTCAGTAGAAGGGATTTCTGGTTGGTGAAAGTGGAAGTGTTAGTTGCTCAGTCATGTCCAACTCTCTGCGATCCCAAGGACCATAGCCCACCAGGCTCCTCTGTCCATGGATTTCTCCAGGCAAGAACACTGGAGTGCGTTGCCCTTCCCTTCTCCAAAGGATCCTTCTGACCTAGGGATCGAACCCAGGACTCCTGCATTGCAGGCAGATTCTTTGCCTTCTGACCCACCAGGGAAACCCCTCTTCCGGTAAGCCATGTTGAAAACAACATGTGCTACCAACACGCAAAACGTACCTGTCTCTTTCAGTTGACCTCCTCTGTTCTCAGATTAGTTTCTCTTTTGAAACAAGACTGCTGAAGAGCTTCTGCTTTCCTGAGCAAATTTCAGGAGCAGCAGATGGTGTCATGGGAAAAGCTATTTCTGAAGTAGATGTTTCTCTGGACAGGTAGTCTGTGGACTGTGTCTGCACTAGTCATTGTTGTGTCCCCAACCCTGGCCTATAGTGGGTGCCCCCCGAGTGTCTGTGATTGAAAGAGTGAAAGTCCAGGTTTAAATTCCTCTTTCACTCCCAGCTGATTGTACAACCTTGAACATGTGATGAGTTCTCTTTAGGGTCAGCTTTCCCATCTCTCCGGAGCTTTGGGAGGATAAAATAATTCTGATGTGTCAGGGGCAGGGTAAACATGATTCATCATTGTCATGATTGTAAGAATGGCTTCACTACTGGAAACCTGGACTCAAGGGTCAGACCTGGGTTCAAAGTTTGTTTTCTTCATATACCGGCTGTGTGAGTGTGGGCAAGATGCTTAACCCGTCTGAGATTGCCTCCCCCCTTTGTAACATGGTGCTGATAATTCCCGCCTTGCAGGCTTCCGTGCCTTGCTCAATGCCTCCTATGGAGGTTGCTCCTTCCCAGATCCATTCATTCATTTACTCATTCATTTTTTCATCTTCTGTTGTGAGCGCCCACTGTATGCAGCACAGTGCCAGGCACGGGCACAAAAGGCTGAGCAGGGCTCGTGTGGTTAGGCTTCTGTGTCTGCTTCTGCTTGTTAGTCCGAGGTTGACTTGAGTGGGTTACCTGGTGAGGGAGACCCTGCTCGGTCCATTTGTTAACCAATCAAAGAAGAGAAAACGTTCCTGGGTAGAACGTTCCATCTCTTCTATCTGGCAGTGTGGACGAGGTGCCCACTTAGAAGCCTAGGACCTGGGGGGGGGGAGATGGGGCTGGGGAGGTGTCTCTGGGAGCTGTTTGTGAAGGAGTCGGTGGGTGAGTCACCAGCCTCCATCAAGAATGTTGTGGGCAAGCTGTCTGTCCCCTTTTGCTGGTAACCAGGAAAATGTCCCTGCAGGAAGATCTCTGCGTTTCCTCGGGATGTTGTCCCGGAATGTTTTTTTCTTAGGCTGGTTTCCTTTACAAGCTGCAATTATGTTCTCTTCCCACGCACGTTCCGTCGGTGGCGCTTCTCTGAGAAACTGTCTTCATGATCTTTGGGATGGCCGTGGGCAGGAGAGTTCAGAGGAGAGAAGGGGGCAGGAGCTCCTGTGGAGCCAAGTCTGGTTTTGCATCCACAAGACATTCACAAATGCTGCATCCCGTGGGGCTTGGCTGTGGTTTCTTGTGTTCTCCTACCAGCCAAGCTCTGGAAGCTGCTAAGTTTGGACCAATGTTATCACGGGGCAGATGACAAACACTGTAATTGCTAGAAACCAAACTGCTCCCGGAGATGCCATTTCCCCTTTTTATGCTGACTGGTTATTTGGGTTTGATATATGATGGTGAAAACAGGAACTCTGTGTTTTAGACAATAAGGGAACCAACATTATGGCAAGTAGAGCCATCTTAGTTACCAGGTACTGGGACTATAGGCCAAATGCTTTCTGGGTGCATGCACGTGAAGTCGCCTCAGTCCTGTCTGACTCTCTGCGACCTGTGGACTGTAGCCCACCAGGCTCCTCTCTCAGTGGGATTCTCCAGGCAAAAGTACCGGAGTGGGTTGCTGTGTCCTCCTCCAGGGGATCTTCCTGACCCAAGGATGTTCATAAACTTCTCGTGGAATGTTTGTGTCAAGCGCTAAAGTAGGCAGTACACCCCCATTTTACATACAGGACAACTGAGGCCAGGGAAGTTGTCACACAGCTTGTTAGACGCAGAGTAGAAATTCAAATCCAGGACAAGCTACAGATCCATTTGTCTCCGTGCTGTGTTCACTGTCGCCAGCAAAGTTCTCTTGGCAGGAATTATCCCATCCAAAAAAGAAAAAAAAAAAAAATCACATCCAGATTTTCACTGGACAAAAATCTTAAAAGCTCCCTTAGGAAAATTGGCTATAATCTGCTTTTAGTGTCCAAGGTTTTCTTATTTTAGTGCCTCGCACACCCCTAACCATTAAAACAACAGTGGGTGGAAAAAAAGTTTGTAGGTGATATTCTTAGAAAAACTGTACTCTGATGTCTTATAATTTTCCTGGTTCTCCGCTGTCTTCCTGGCCCCAAAATAAAGTGTAATTGCTGATCATATCAGCTGATGTCAAGTCACCGAAAGTTCAAAAGTTGCCAACTGCATATTTGCGGGCCGAGCACATGTGCGGGCCGCCCCGCTCAGCCCAGACAGCAGGGCAGAGCGCTGCTGTCAGCCACTGATAGGGCATAATTGCCCCAAAAATGCCAGCGAGGGGTGGGACAGCCTGTCTTGCCTCACCCACCTCCCGGTCCTCTCGTGGGTTCCCCGAAGTCTTCCTGGCATCCCTCATGTGGTTCAGCCCTGCCCTGCCTGCTTCTTTCTTTAGCGTTTGCACTTGCTCTGTGATTACTATGTTCCGAGAAGACAGATGCTCAGTCCAGGGGCCGACCAGGAACTTCTAAGTCCAGGAGGCCTCCATGCATGCGCCAGTGGCCTGCAGACCTTCCTAGGGGCCCCTGGGGACCAGAAAATTCACTATTTTGACCAGTCAATATTTTATTGTAATAACAATTTTAAAAATCGGACCTTTATTGGTGCAGTCTTCTATGTGTTAAAGTATATTTACTTCTCCATAAGATGGGCTCCAAGAAGAAGGATGGAGAGAGGGAGAGAAGGGAAGGAGGAAGAAAGTTACTGTTTATTGAATGTCAGTGACTTTCCACACGTATCTCATGGAATCTTCACAACAATCCTAGAAGGAAGATATCTATAACTCCATCCTTCAGATAAGTTAACAGGCTCAGAAGGGCTAAGCAATTTGCCAAGATCCCATAGCGCCTTAATGGTTGTGCTGGGTCCTTCTGACCTGGAGAGAAAGTGGGAGGAAGAACTTCTATCCCATTATCTTTTCTGGGTAGAAAAATGCTTTCTTGAGGTTCTGTTTCATGGTGACTGAAGCTGAGCTCAGGGTAGTTGCAGAATTCCTGAAGGCAGGGGCCAAGTTTCATGGAATGCACGGTAGATGTCCAATAAACAATTGCAGATTTGTTTTTTCTCATGGAACATGATATTTGGAGCAGTCTTTCTATACTGGCTGGAGCCAGGCTAAGTAGGAGTCCCTTCCTTCCCCTTCCCCAAGA